AGGGGAGCGGCCAAAGGGGGGAGCAAAGGGGACAGGGCGTTATACACCCCCCCTGCCGCACATTCCTAATTCCCAGGCAGCAGCCGGCGGGAGCTTTTCCTGGGAGCTGTACTTACGGGAGACCTTTATCCCCCCGGCTTCATCTCCAAACAGCCTCCACTTCGCCAAAACAAAAGCAACTCTTTCATGGCCCAAATGTCTAACGATTTCTCCTCTGTTGAAGAGGGACGGGAAAATAAATGGGGCAACACAGAAACCGTCTTCAGCCTTAACACAGCACACACATCCACATGGACGTATACAGAAATATATCCTATCCGTAAGCTAAGGTGGGGAACCTCACCGGCCGTACTCCCCCTTCGCCAGGGAGTCCCCTGGAGCCCCCGGCCGCCCAAACGCTCGGGCCGGGCTGGAGATGCAAACCCAAAGTAAGAGCAGAGCCGTTCCTTCCCCAGCACGTGCGGGATGCCACGGGGACGAGCGCCAGGCGCACACCCACCACCCTCGGACGGAGACCAGAGCCGACGCCGCGACTTGAGATGGGAAAGATGCCCCGAGGTGATGGGAAGGACAGCCCGAGGGGCACGGTGGCAGCGGGGAGAGGGTGCAACGTGTGGCTCACATCTCCTTCCTCAACGTCTAACCCATCACGCTTCATGCGATCCCACTTCCAGCACCCATCACAAGGGACGCTGGGGTTTTTTTGCAAGGGGGAAGACCCGGGAGAGCAAGCGCTGGCTTTGCAGGGCGGCTTAGCCAGGAATTCCAGCTTCCCCCTGCTTTCTTCGGGAGCAAAACGAAATCCCAAACTTACCAGTGCCGGCATTCAACAGCAGGCGAGCTAGGAGTTACTGAGCTGAGCATCGGTATCGGCCGTAGCTCTGCCCCCCCTTGCACACTCCACCGGGCCTCATCATCATTTCTGGCCCCGCTCCTACACGGATTTATTCAGGTGTTGAGCCGAGCGCGGCAGCGATCGCTCCGCGTGCTGAAAACGAAGCCCGTGACCCAGAGCCGCAGCAAGAAGCCCCGTTTTCTGCAAGCGACGGCAGCGCTGCGAGCAAAACGGTCCGCGGCCGGGCGTTTGGAACAATGCTGCTCTTTGGAGCGCTGGCGTCATCGAAGTCCCCGCTTCGCTGCGCCGGGGCAGGGTGGTGACAAAGCCGCCGCTGCGGGAACACGGGGGCTCTTCAAGCCCTCCTCCCCCGGGCTGCGCAGGCAGCAAATCCGTCCTCCTCCTTCAGCCCGGCGGGGGGAAATAAGTCCTGCGAAAATTGCAGCTGGGCTGAAAACCCCCAAGGAAAATCGGTTTGGCTCCTCTGGTCCCTCTGGAATAGGCTGGGGAGGGAACTGTGGAGATCCTACGGAGCAGGAGATGTCCCAAGGCTGGCAGGGAGCGGGGAGGGGTGAATTCCGCCCCCCGGCTTGCTGTCGGTAATGGGGGAGAGCGGAGCGAGCGGAGGAAATCCTGATGGTCCCGAAGAGGACGAAGGGACGGCAGGAAGGGGATGTCCCAGCCCCAACCAGCACTTACCCGTGAAAAGAGAGAAACTTCCACTATTTTGGCTTCCAAGACATCGAGGGGCAGCACGGAGGGCAGCCTTCCCACGCCCCAGTCTGACGATCCAAACCTGGAGCCGTTATTGCAAATATCCCTTCATCTTCTCCGCCCAATATCCCCCCCCAAACCAAACATCTCGGATCCCTCTCCCAGGGCGCCGGCTGGGGGAGCCCAGCCACGGCTCCCGCTGCAAACCAAGCCTCCCTGCCGGAGCAGGGTCTTCTAAAACCGTGTTTGCCAGAAGCTTTGCCCCCTCCACGACGCAGGGGAAACGCAAATCACAGGCACCTGCGGGGACATGGGGCACGAACCCCCCCCCCCACACACACTCCTTGAGATTTTATTACCCTGGAGATAGCAGTACCGCTCCCGGGAGCGGCGCTGATAAGAGGGAGGTGTGGTGGAGGAGAAAGCCTGGGAGCACTGCATTTCCCGAGCACCAGCGCGGGCTGCAGGAGGGACTCTTCCAGCTCCGGGCGAGCACTCCCTGCGGGGGCGTGGGGGTTTTGGGAAGCCGAGGTCTCCGCACCAACCCTCCTAAAACCCTCCGGTAGAAATGAAGGATGTTTTAAAAAAGAAAACCCAACAGCCGAACAGAAAGCTGACCATCCGCTCCCTTCCGCCTTCGCGTTGCAGCCCCCGGGGCCAGCAAGGTGGCGGATGCAACGCCGTGCCCTCGGCCAGCCCGAGCATCACCCGCGGGGCTGAGGGGAGCCTGGCTTCGAGGCAGCCT